AAACAGAAAAATGAAAATAATAGAAAACAACTAGCAAGGTAGTATTATTTCAACACAACTATACAAACAATAAGTTTAAAGGTGAATGATTTAAGAATAACAGTTAAGGACTACGAACAGGAAGAGGACGAAAAAAATAACTGTCCACGATGCCGAGTCGAACCGGACCCGCAGGCACCATGAACAGCAAAGGTCAATGTCCAATGCAGCCAACGTACCCTGTGCAGCCTCCTGGGAATCTGGTGTACCCTCAGGACTTGCATCTTCCTCAGTCTCCACCCTATACTGATGCTTCACCTGCCTACTCAGAGCTCAATCGTCTGAGCTTTGTGCATCCAGGGGTTGCCATGGTCCCCACCTTGTCAGCTGCATTTCCTGGCGCCTCACTGTATCTTCCTGTGGCCCAGTCTGTGGTTGTTGGACCTTTAGGTTCCACAATCCCTATGGCTAATTATCCAGTTGGCCGCATTTATCCACCTGGTTAAACAGTGCTGGTGGAAGGAGGGTATGATCCAGGTGCCAGGTTTGGAGCTGGGGCTACTGCTGGCAACATTCCTCCTCCATGCCCAGGATGCCTTCCTGATGCTGCTCAGCTTGCAGTCATGCAGGGAGCCAATGTCCTTATAACTGAGAAGAAGGGGGACTTCTTCATGGGTGGCACAAATGGTGGCTATACCATCTGGTAAAGAACCAAGGCCCTCTCGGTGCCGGGAAAGACATCACATACGTTCAGCACTTCTCACAATGTAACTGCTTTAGTCATATTAACCTGAAGTTGCAGTTCAAGACACATGTTGTTGGGGTGTGTTTCTAGCACCCAAACTTTCAGGCACTTTTCAAACTTAGTAAAGAACCATGTAATGGTAGCAGTACCTCCCTAAAGCATTTTGAGGTAGGGAAAGTATCCATTCATAAAATGAATGTGGGTGAAGCAGCCCTAAGGATCTTCCTTTAATTCCTCTGGAGTAATACTGTATCATACTGGTCTTTGCTTTTAGTAATAAAACATCAGATTAGATCTGGAGGTAACTTTGATCTTCCTAAGAATTAAAGTTGCCAAATTATTCTGATTGGTCTTTAATCTCCTTTAAGTCTCTGATTTATATTGCTTGTTATAAATACATTAGTTGTCTGCCTTTTCTTTTCCATCCTTTGTCCCACATCCCACCCTCAGCCTGTCTTCCATCCCCTCCCGCCAATCTCCATTGAATCAATGGTGCAGGACAGACAGCCAGTCAGACTAATTTCCCTCTCTTCTTGCACTTCTCCCCACTTGCCATCTTCTAACTGGTCTTTCACAAGGATCCTCTGAAACCCACTCTGTGCCCAAGCACAGACCCCATTACTTCTGCTTATATATCTCCTCAGGCAAAAGAGGAGGGTGCCTTTGGACCCTCCTCATAGGTTGTCTCTTCATACATGAATCAAATCCAAATTTGCTTTGGTGCCAGAAAAACTGAGCTTGTTTGAACAAGAGATAGTAGCACAAACTGTACTGTAAACAAGTTTGTTTAAAATGGGTGCATGGGCCGGGGGCAATGAGGAGGATGCATTTCACAAGCCTGATGACTTTAGAGCCAAAATGAAGGGGAGTTTTCAGATCAAAAATTGGTTACCATTTATTGTCCCAGTGTCTGATGCAGCCACTCATGGCTCCCAAGAATTCCTCAACTGGGTTAATGGGGTCAGATTACGAGTGCCTCACTGCAAAATGTCTTGAGACCAATGAAATCTCATTAGGGTTAAGAGATCCCTAATATTTTAGGGATTTCAGGGATCCTTAATATTTTAATTTTTCAGCAATTGGATTTAATTTTATCTTATAATTTCAGTTCATCTAAATTGTGTTCTGTACATGTTATGTTTGACTGTACCATTGACTGTTATGGAAGTTCAGTGTTGTATGTCTCTCTCTATACTGTGGTGCACTTGTGGATTTTTTAATACTAAAAATGTAGAATAAAGACTATTTTGAAGATATAAAAAAAAGAATTACAGTTAAAAATTGAGAGACTGGATTAAAAAAAAAAAAAGACCCAATTATATGAGATTGAGATTGTACTGTTCAGGATTCTTCAGAGAAACAGAAGTAATAGGGTGGGCCATTGGCCATTGCCTCACAGGATCATGGAGGCTAAATTCCACAATCTTCTGTCTGCAAGCTGGAGAACCAGGAAAGATGGTGGTACAATTCAGTTTGAGTCAAAGACCTGAGAACCATGGGGACTAATGGTGTAAGTTCCAGCTGGGGACTGAAGGCCAAAGAATCAGGGGACCATGGTATAAGTATCAGTCCAAGTCTGAAGGCTGACAACCAGGAGCACCAATATCCAATGGCAGAAGATAGATGTCCCAGTCAAGCAGAGAATGAATTTACCTCCCTCTCCCTTTTTGTTCTATTCAGGTTCTCAAATGATTGGATAATATCTACCCACATTGGTGAGAGCAATATTCTTCAGTCTATTGATTTAAATGTTAATCTCTTCTGGAAACACCCTCGCAGATAAACGTAAAAATAATATTTTACAGCTATCTGGACATTAGCTCAGTCAAGTTGGCACTGAAAATTAACCATTACAGAGGTTTACAAGAAACCTCTTTTAATATTATGATAGTAGACTTCCAGTTTCAGTTCCAACATGAAAGGAATTTAGAAGTCATAACTCATGTCTCTAAAAGAAAGAGATGAGAAAACTGAAAATCACTGTTTTTCTCAGACTCATCAGAGAACAGACATAGCGTGGCAAATCGCTCCCCCCGCCAAAAATCTAGATATATACAGGGTTGAAGCTCAGATCCGCTTACCTGAAGCAAAACTCCTCAGAGCCATAAACTGGTGGAAATACTTAAACGGTAGATTTGATGAATTGCTGGAGGTTGAGTGTGGGCTAGCTTGAGTGAGAAACTTTACTTAGAGCTACAGTATTGGAGACAGGGGCACATATTCTTGGGTTTTATCTCCAGGAACCCCACCAAATTCTCAGAACAAAAGCTGAAAAGGATACCCTCATGGCTGTGGTAGGGAAAGGAGGAATAGAAATCACTGGAAAATGTGCCCAGGATGTTTTCCATAACAAAAGCCTAGTCTCTAAGGGAAAAAGACTTTAACAGAGCCCTTAGGATCACACAGCGTGGGTGGCTTACAGCACCAATGCATGTACCCACCAACTTTGGGGGCTGTGCAGCACAAGTCTAGGTGAAAATCTCAAATGGTCAAGATCACCTGGAGAAAGTGTAGGATAAATAGTCATTGCCAAACTGCCTTCTGGGAAGTGTTACTTGCTGTTCCTAGAGCTAAAGTTTTTGTGGTAGAGTAAGCTTGAGAAAAACTGCATAGTAAACACCCCTCCTAGTGAGTTAGATAATACATTAACATAGTAAAGATTCAGAGAAATCCCTAAGGAAAATTGAAAACTATTACAAGTTTATTCTCAATCCTGTTTGTACATCAGAGGAGCTTATTTGATTTTTAGTAAACACAACACATGGGTTCCATCCCATACCTGAGGAGATGAGAGGCCAATATCAAGACTCAAAAAAAAAGGACAAGAATTGTTAATAAAATGGGTACAGTACCAGAAAAAAAATTTTTTTCTCAGTAAAAGATGCAAGTTCTTCGCAATAGTAAGTAGTAAAGGAATCCAAATGTGTTGTCCCAAAACAGGCCTGACATAAAAGCTATTTTGAGCTGAAGTGTAGGAACAGGAAATTCAGGAAAATCACCTCCCACCTTTCCACCTAAAGGCAGGATATAAATTCTCCTTTTACTGGAAGCAGACTCTTAGCCCAAACACAGCACCAGAGGTATCTGCAAAGTACTCCATTAGTTTCGTCACAGATACTTACCTTCCCACAATCTGCTGCCCTTGAAAAGCTGAAACTGCTTTCCTTTGTCCTGTCATTTCTCCACAAATTTATTGTTCTGCGTTGAAGATACTTATAAGCCAGAATGCTAAACCACAAATTTGAGCTACTCTTCAAGGTTCTCCTGCCTGTTGTGTGTGTGCTGCATGTGTTAATAAACTGTTTTGCTCTTGTTAATCTTTTTGTTAGAATCTCATCTGAAAACCTAAGATGAGTAGAGGTAAAATTTTACCTCTGCTAGGGTATGACAGGCAGCTTATGAAAGTTTGAGAAAAGGTTTGCAATCACTGCCACTAGAGATGTAAGAGGAAGTCAAGGTATAAAAAATTTGGTTTGTTTACCAAGCAATTCAAAGAGACCTCTTGAAGTCAGAGCAAGACTTTGTAGCAGAACCAATCATGCTGGTTCAACAGTCCAGACGGAAGAGTGGAGGAAAGGTACTTATCAGTTTCCCAAGAACTAGAAATTAGCAAAGCAGGAACTGAAAGAAGTCCTGATAGGATCTATCAATTCCCATTAAAAAGTACCACAAATTGATTAGCTTAAAAATCACAGAAATGTATTGTCCCACAGTTCTGGAGGCCAGAAGTCTGAATTTAAGGGCCATGCTCTCCCAGACACTTCCAGAGGATTCTTCCTTACCTTTCCCAACTTCTAGCAGCTTCAGGCATTCCTTGGCTTGTGACAGCATAATTCCAATCTCTTCTATAGTCATCTTCCATGTCTTCATATGGTACCTCGCATGTGTGTGTGCACATATACAAATTTCCTTCTAATTATAAGGATACCAGTCATGTTGGATTAGTCCCAACCTAATTACCTCATCTTAGTTTCCCAATAAGGTAATATTCACAGGTAGCGCTTCAACATTATCTTTTTAAGAAGACGTATTCAACTCATAACAGCAAATATCTTGGAGAGTTAAGGAGAACTAAGTAGGAATCACTGAATGAAGGGATTGTGCTGGCTGAAGAGAAAGACAAGCCCGAATGGGATGAGACAAAGGAAGGGGAAGGAGAGTTGGAAAGAGAGCTGGAAGTTTTGAAAGAAGCCTTGTTAAATCACTGCCAGAAAATCTATTGCAAGTCTGAGAGAAAACACATTAAACTATTAGTAATGTTGTGATCATTGATGACTTTAATTTTCTTTACACTTTTTTATACATTCTAAATTTTCTACAATAAATTCACAATTTTTATAAAGAGAAAAACAATCATTATTTTTAAAGTAATTCACAATCCTCTTGAGTGTGTACAACCAAGAGTAGAAAGGTAAAGTGACAAAAACACATATATAGGATAAAAACATGAAAATAAACAAAGATGATGCTGACCCACAATTGCATTCAATAAATGCTTACAAATATAAGTTGATTTGAGATTTACTTAAATCCAAAAAACAAAAAAGTAAAGCAGAAAAAAGTGTTTGACCTCCATCTCAAACAGATCTGAATTTAATCCCAACACTCCCATTTGCCAGTTAAGCAATGAGTGAGTTACTTTACAGGTTTGTTTTCTCACTTCTAAAAATAGGATTTTAATTTCCATCTCACCGAGCTGTTACAAGATTCGTATGAAAGCATTATGTGAAGAGGTTAGCACAATGTAAATACTTAAGTGTTTTTCAACATTTTCAATATATTAATAAACTTGTATATACAATATATGAATTTGACAAATGGATAGCATAATGAACACCTGAAGGCTGAAACCTGGTCAGGTGAAGAAGAGGAATAGCATGGGCAGAGAAAGGGAGGACTGTCTGTTTTCTGATCCAGAAAAGTGAGGGGTTTCAGTACTTACTGGAAAGAGGAATTATGCAACTGAACTGAATTTGGATTCTATAAATTTGTCAAGTTTCAGAAAAAGTGACCTAAGCCTAAACTGTGAGAGTCCATGCTGTATGCCTATAGCACCAGTAAGGATACTTCAGACTGCAACTAACCAAAAGGCAACTAAAATTGCCTTATGCAAAAAGGGAGCAATAATCTCATATAATGAGAAGTTTGGGATTAGGAAATTTCCAAGTTTAACAATGCCAATGAAGGCTATGTTTCTTCTTTTATTACTGTACTTTCTTCAGTTTCCATACAACTGCTAACATCAGAAAGGGGGCTGTCGTCCCAAATACCTCCTTTTAGAAGCTACGAAAACATTCTCCAGAAAGTTTCCCCACCTTGGAAAACTTCCCATCCTATCTCATTGGTCCTAATACCCTGACATGGGACTGCTTCTCCTGCCGCACATAGAGAGCACATACCAAACAGTTCATTTAGAATGAGCCAGAAATAAAAAAAGCAGAGAAGTGGGGCAAATGGCTACTAGAAAGTCAACAACAAGGTCTGCCATATCTATCTATGTGCAGAACATAGGAGTTGAACAAAACATGAAATTGGAGTCTGAATAAACTGATGTACTACCAAGGACCAACATGCACAAAGTGAAAGAAGAGGATGGATGTCCCTGGGCTGGGATATAGGTCAGGATTCTTGGGCAGGGAAAGAATAGCTTCATTTCCCACCAGTAACTGGTGGGAGGAATAAAGATGCTAAAACGCTCAACCAAAAAAATGGCCGGAGATGTGAGACAAAAGAGCAAGAAAAAGTGTGCAGGTGCACTCCATCCACAGCATTGTAGAATGAGATATCTCCAGCCTCATAATCTAAGAAAACTCCCACTCGTTGAAGGGCTGGCTCTGAACTGGTGGAAATTACAGGGTTATCTGTTAGGGGCCAATAGCAGGTGGAACTCCAACAAATAGCCCAGATGCCCACATCAGGGGATAGTCTTGAATTATTAACAATCCCCAAGACATCCTCCCGACACACCCCCACAGCAATCATCAGGCTATCTCGGTTCTCAACTTCCCAGTAATGTTTCCCTGAAGTGAAAACGTTTTTTCCCAAAACACAGGGTAAGTGTTGAAATCTCTTCACGGACTGTGTGGTCTGCTGAGGATTCCTCCGTGCAGTAAAGTAGTTCCATGCTGTAGAAAGTACTGGCCAAGAACCGGATGATGTTCCATTTTGCACGTACCTCCCTTCCTGGGAGAAGACAAGTTTGGGATGAGCTGTGTCTTCAGCTAAACTCACAGCCACTGCAAAGAAAACGAGAGCTGAGATAAATAATACCAGAGCTTACCACCAGCCCTCTTCTAGAAATACCCATCTTTTCCAACTTCAGTTCCATTCTTCTTCTAACGAGTACTGTCAGGGATGGGCATCCTCATTGTCTCTCAACTATTCATCAGGTGGGCCTAGTGGGCCATAATATGGGCTCTGGCAATCTAAAATTCTCATTTCCCTTTGGCTCCAAAAGACTAAGACCTAAAAAATGGGGAGCTCATTAGTTCAGGGCCCTAACTCTTCACAATCAGCATAAAATTTGGAGAAGCATTAACAAACTCTGACTTGTTGAATCAGAACTAGGTCAAGGCTGTTGACTAGCTGATTCTTTGCACAGGTACACATGGATGTTATTGTTAACAAGGTTTCTCTCCACTTGTTCCAGCAGTTCACTGGGCATCTCCACAGACCCTGAACAGGTATTAAAAAACGGAACTCATTATCCTAAGTCCCCTCCCACCTACTTGAGACTTGTCCTCCCAAAAATGCAGACATCATCACCTTCTATGTTCTCTAAGGTATAAGGGCATTACCTCCACCCAAACACTCACACTTTGAAATCTTGAGGTTATTTGACTATTCTTTCCTTCTAACCCTCAATGACTACTTAGTCACTACATCCTATCAACTCTACCTCTAAAATATCAGTCAGGTTGTTTCCCTCCTCCCTATTCCCACTGCCACTATCTTTACCCAGTCCTTCTTCAGCATCTTTCACTTTAACTCTGTCTATAAAATCCTCCCTGGCCTCCCTGCCTCCAATTCTCTTCCCTTCAACTCTCCATGCCACTGTAGTTTTTCTCTTTTTTAAGTCAGGAATGGATGTTATGTTTTTACACAAGCTTCTTCTGCATCTACTGAATTGATCAGTTTTCCTTTTTTTAGTTTAGTAAGCGGTGAATTATATTTGTTTTGCAAATGTTAAACCAACCCTGTTATTCTGGGATAAATCCCATTTGGTAGTGATATATTATCCTTTCAATATGTTGTTGGATTCAACCTGCTAACATTTTTAGAACTATTCTATATTCCTGGGAAACACTGATCTATATATAGTTCTCTTGTAATGTCTTTGATTTTGGTAATGCAGGTCTCATAGAATGAATTGGGAAAGTCTCGCCTCTTTGATTTTTTTTAAGTTATTGGAGAATAGGTATTTCTTAGATTATTTGGTGAATTCACCAGTGAGGCCATTTGGGAAGGTTTTTTTCATTTTTATTTTTTTTATTGTTGTTCAGTTACAGTTGTCCCCATTTTTCTCCCCTTAGTCTTCCCTGCCCTACCCATCCCCCACCACCCACATTCAATCCTCCTCCCTCCCTGTTGTAACTACACCACCAATATCTTTAATAGAAATGTAAGTTATTCCAGTTATCTATTCTTGAGTCAACTTTGGTCATTTGTGTCTTTTAAGGAATTCATCCATTTTACCTATTGTACATCGTCAAATTTATCAGCACAAAGTTGCTCATAATACTCGCTTATTATCTTACTAATATCTGTAGAGTCTGTAGTGACGTTATTCTTTTCTTATGGACTTTATTGGTGTGACATTGGTTAATAAAATTATGTAGGTTTCAGGTGTAGCCTCTCTCATTTTGATATTAGTAATCAGTGTCTTGTTTTCTTCTGGTCATTCTGGTTAAAAGTTTTTTAAGAAAATGAATCTTCTCCAAAAAGCAGCTTTTGGTTTCATTACCTTTTCTCCTGTTTTTCTGTATTCTAATTTTATTGATGTCTATTTCCATTCCTTTGATTACTTAATTTGATCATCTTTTTCCAGTGTCTTAAGATGGAAACTGGTCACTGATTTGAGAACCTTCTTCTCTAATACAGGTTAGTGCTATTAATTTCTCCTTAAGGATTGCTTTAGCTGCATCCCACAAATTCTGGTATGTTGTTTTCCTTTTCATTCAGTTCAAAGTAATTTCCCTTTTGATTTCTCCTTTAATTCTAGGGTTATTGAGAAGTATGTTTAGTTTCCTGACACTTGGGAATTTTCCAAGAGTATTTTTGTTACTAATATCTATCTTAAATGCATTATGATCAGAAAACACACTGTGTATAACTTAAATTCTTTTGAATTTAATGAGATTTGTTTTATGGCCTCCCTTGTTTTATCTAGTAAAAAGTCCCACGTATACTTTTTTCCCAAATCCTCACCCAAGGATATGTTTATTGACTTTAGAGAGGGAGGGGAAAGGAGGGAGGGAGGGAGGGAGGGAGAGAAGGTGGGAGAGGGTGGGGAAGGGGGGGGGGAGAGAGAGAGAGAGATGTGAGAGAGAAACATCCATCGGTTGCCTCCCATGCATGCCTGAATAGGGGATCAAATTCACCACCTAGGTACATGCCCTGCATGGGAATCAAACACACCACCTTTTGTGTATAGGACAATGCTCCAACCAACTGAGCCCCCTGGCCAGGATTCCATGGACACTTTTTTTAAATGTGTACTCTGGTGTTCTATCAGTGAGGTAAAGTTGGTTACTAGTCGTCTTAAAGCCTACTATATCCTTGTTAATTTTCTGCCTAATTTTTCTAAAAATTATTGGAAAAAAGTATTAAAAATCTAGCTATAATTGTGGATTAGTCTATTCCTCCTTGCAGCTCTATTATATTTTTGCTTAATATATTTTAAAGCTGTAAATTAGGTGTACAAATATTCAGAATTCTTATGTATTCCTGATGAATTAACCCCTTTGTCATTAGGAAATAACCTTTTTTTTTTTATCTCTGATAATATTCTTTGCCCTCTTATAAATATAGCCACTCCAAATTTCTTTTGCCTAATGTTAGCATGGTGTATCTTTCTCCATTGTTTTACTTTTAACATATACAGATCTTTATATTTAGGGCATTTCTTGCAGAATATAGGTGAGTCTTGCTTTTTTATCCAATTAACTTTTATCTTTTAATTAGGATGTTCAATTTATATATAAATTTAATATACACATATTTTATATATATATGAAGCGTGTGTATATATACACACACACATTTCTTAATCCTCACCCAAGGATATGTTTATTGACTGTGGGCCGGGGGCGGGGGGTGGAGAGAGAGAGAAAAACACCAATGTGAGAAACATTGATTGATCGCCTCCCATGTTTTCTAATTTGAGGTTTTCTTACTGGAGTTCAAACCTGCAACCCAGGTATGTGCCCTAACGAGGAATCAAACCTGCAACCTTTTCAGTGTACCAGATAATGCTCCAACCAACTGAGCCACCCAGCTACGGCAGATGACATATTTAATATGATTAATAATAATCATCATCTTGCTATATGTTTTCTTTTACCTTTTAATTACAGTTGACATTCAGTATTATTTTGTATTAGTTTCAGGAGTACAGTATAGTGGTTAAATAATCATATACTTTACAAAGTGTTCCCTGACATTCCAATATCCACCTGGCACCATACAGCTAAACTTATACAGTCTTACTGACTATATTCCCTATGCTGTAGCTTACATCCCCATGACTATTTTGTAACTATCAATTTGTACTTCTTAATCCCTTCACCCAGTCCTGAACACCCTCCCCTCTAGCAACTATCACTCTGTTCTCTGTGTCTATGAGTGCATTTCAATTTTTTTCTTTTGTTCTTTAGATTCCACATATAAGTGCAATCTAATAGTATTTGTCTTTCTCTGAGTGACTTATTTCTCCTAGGGTAATATCCTCTAGGTCCATTCATGCTGTTGCAAAATGGTAAGGTTTCATTCTTTTTCTAGCCAAGTGATATTCCACTACTTTTTCATCCACTCATCTACTGATGGGCATTTCATTTGTTTCAAAATCTTGGCTATTGTAAATAATGCTGCAAAGAACATAGGGGTGCATGTATTCTTTCAACTTTGTGTTCTGGGTTTCTTTGGATATATATACCCAGAAGTGGAATTGCTGGGTCCTAAGACAAGTTCTATTCTTGATTTTTTGAGGACCCTCCAGTTTTCCAAAGCACCAATTTGCATTCCCACAAACAGTGCATGAGGGTTTTCTCCTCTCCACATCCTCTCCAACACCTGCTGTTTGTTGATTCATTGATAACCATTCTGACAGGTACAGATGATAATGGCTTTAATTTGCATATCTCTAACAATTAATGACATGAATATCTTTTCATACATCTATTGGCTATCTGTATGTCCTCTTTCAAGTAGTGTCTATTCAAGTCCCCTGCCCATTTTTTAATTGGATTGTTTGGGGTATTTATTTGTGCTGAGTTGTATGAGCTCCTTATAAATTTTGGTATTAACCCCTTATTGGATGTATCATTGGCAAATATTTTCTCCCATTCAGTAGGTTATGTTTCATTGATGATTTCCTTTGTTATGCAAAAACTTTTTAGTTTGACGTAGTCCCATTTGTTCATTTTCCTTGCCTGAGGAGATATATCAGGAAGAATAATGTTGCTAAGAGGATGCCAAACATTTTACTACTTATATTTTCTTTCAGGATTTTATGGTTTCACATCTTTTATTTAAGTCTTTAATCCACTTTGAACTTATTATTGTATATGGGGTAAGAAGGTGGTCTAGTTTTTTTCCCATGTATCTGTCCAATTTTCCCAACACCATTTATCAACTGAACTGCCTCTACCCCATTGAATATTCTTGCCTCCTCTGTGAAATTTTAATTGCCCATATAGGCATGGGTTTCTTTCTGGCCTCTCTTGTTCTGTTCCATTGATCTATATGTCTGTTTTCATGCCAGTATCATACTGTTTTTACTATGCCCTGGTAGTACAGTTTGATTATCAGGTAGTATATCTCCAATATATTTTCTATTTGTCCTACTTGTTCCTCTTTCTGCATTTTTATTTATCAAATATTGTTTATAACTCCACTTTATCTCCTTTAACTGTTTTTAGTGTTTGCTGTGAGGCTTATCAGAATCTAGCTTCAGCTGACATACCATTTCACATATAGTAACTGTTTAATAGTACATTTCCATTCTCCCCTTCCAACATTCATGTTGTTGTTGTGTATTTTACTTGTAATACATTACAAACTCCACAATATTATTTTTGTCTTTTTACATATTCAATTACTGTATTAGTCAGGATTCCCAGAAGACACAACAAATAGAATGTGTGTGTATTCACAGAAAAAGAGATTATAAGATATTGGCTCACATGAATCTGGTGACTGGCAAGTCCCAATCTGCTATGTGTGAGCAGGCTCAAGACCCAGGGAAAACTGATGCTCCAGCTGAAAGGCCATTAGGCAGGAAAAGCCAAAGCTGCAGACGATGTTTCAAAAGCACTTTCCTCTTATTCGGGGTGGGGAAAGGTGGTTTAGCCCTTTGTTCCAGTTAGGCCTTCAAATGATCTGATGAGGCCTACAAACATTATGGAGGACAACCTGCCTTACTCAAGTGTCTCAACTTAAATGTTAATCTCATCCAAAACACTCAGAGCAACAACCAAAATGATGTTTGACCAAGTATCTGGGCACCTTGTGATCCAGTCAAGTTCACACATATATTAACCATCACTATTAACTTTTAATAATTGAACATACACACACACATACACACACACACACACACACAAAAGCAGAAGTAACCCCTGCTTGAGTGTGGTTGGTAGGGTAATAATATGAATGTAATAATTTATAGTTTTAATTTGAACATTCCATCTTAAATGTCATATGGTGTGCTTGAGTGTGTTTTTGTTATAGAATCACATGCTTATGATTTTGTAATAAACCATTTTTTAATAAAAAGGGGTATTACCTGTACCTGACCCTGTATATATTTGTTATGTCATTATCATTTCAGTCAATCTTTTAATCCTAGGTTTTTCCTTTCGGTTCTTTAAAGATTTTGCTCACTTACATTGTTTTCAATGAGAAGTGTGATGACATCTTTATCCTATTCCATTTAAAATTTTCTCTTTCATCACTGGTTTTGGTGTAGTTTTCACCATATTTCTTGTGCTTAGGGTTTGTTGAATCATTGGATCTGTGTACTTACAGTTTTCAATTTTCAAGTTGGAAAATTTTTGGCCATTATTTTTTCAAATACTTCTGTTTCATCCCATCCCACTTCTCTCCTTCAAGAACCCTCACTACCACATATAATGCTGCATGTAGTTGTCCCACAGCTCACTGATGCTCTTTTCATTTTTAAAGTTTTTCTGTGTGTTTCATTATGCAAAGTTTCCCGTTCCATTTTCAAGTTCATTAATCTTTTCTACTGCAATATCTAATCACCTGTTAATCCAAATCAGTGTATTTCTTCACCCCAGTCACTGTAGTTTTCATCTCTAGAGGTCTGACCTAGGGCTTTTTTAATATCTTCTATGTCCCTTTACATTTATAGAACAGTTATAACTGTATTACTGTCCCCCTATGTTTATTCTGGTCAAGTTTGGGTTAGTTTTGATTGATTATTCTCACTATGGGTCATGTTTTCCTACCATTTTGTATGCCTGGTGATCTTTGATTAGATGTGAAACATTGTGCATTTACATTGTTGAGTACGTACTCATTTTTTAAAGTTCCAATCTATCCTCTTGAGTTTGTCCTGGGATGCAGTTACTAGGGAATAATTTGATCATTTGGGACCTTCTTTCATGATTTTTAAGATGACTCCAAAGCACTCATCGGTGTAGGGTTAATTATTCCCCAATAATGAGTCAAGATTTCCCTGAGTGACCGGTACCCCATGAATTAAGGAGTGTTCCAGTCTGGCTGGCAGGGACAGGCACTGTTCCTAGCTGAGCCCCAGGAACTGTTCCTTATAATCATTTCGAAACTTCCTCAACCTCAGGCAGTTCTTCACAAGCATGTGTGGATAGGTACTCTGCTGAAAAACTCAGGATGTGCCTCTGTGGAACATCAGGGTTCTCTCTCTGTACAGCTCTCTCCTCTCCAGTATTTCGCAAACTCTCACTTTTTTTGCCCTCCCTGGACTCTCAGTTCCACTGCTCAACTCAAGAAATCTCCTTGAATGAAACATAAATCTGTTTTTTCCTAAGTAACTGCCCTCCTGTTAGCTGCATATGCTGTTTCCTCTTCTTTCCAGACTTCTGTTTATTCTCTTATTTGAAAGACTTGTAAGGAGTTCCAACTCCTAGAAATTCTGCTCACCTTGGAATCGCTTCAGCATTTCCTTCATCATTGGTACAGGGCACTCAACCTTCACCTGTAGAACTTCAAGGGAATAGTCTACATCCTGGTTCTCACTCCTAAAAAAAAGTAAAGAAGACAGCTCTTCTTAATAGACAACTAGGGCAGCTAAGACCCCAACTCCATGTGAAGATTCCAAGCCCAAAGCTTAGACAACTTCTCTTCTATTTCTCTTTGCAAAATTGAACAGAATTCCTCCTCCACAGACCCCTTGGCATGTGCCCAGATTGATCCGTGGAGCCTGGCCTTGATTCCGTTCTGCTCAAGTTGTATCTTTACTATTCCATTCAGATCCCCATAAGTAAGGAGTTCATACCTGGTCAAAAGACCTTTCGGATTCTGTTAAGAGAAGAAAGAAATAAGTAAGTTATGTACCTTCCTCTAGAGATCTGGTACTCAACTTTGTGAGCAGATATTTTTGTCAGTTACTTTTGTTTATGTTACATATGATCTAATGCTGCCAAAGCCAATGACTTGACACAATGCAGCCTTTTTTCTCACACGACCCCTCTGTGCTATCTGACAATGTCCATCAATCCTTTTCTTGAAATCCTTTTCTTCCTCCTTTAGCACTATGAACGTTAACTCTCTCCTGCTTTTGCCAACTTCTCCACCTATTCTCTTTCAATCATAGACAATAACAAATGTTGTTGAGGACGTGGTGATAATATAAAATGGTTTAGCCACTTTGGAAAAGAGTTTGGCAGTTTCTTAAAAAGTTAAATATAAATACACCATACATCCCAGCAATCCTGCTGCCCTCTTTAATTCATAAATTAAAACAAATGTCCACACAAACAACGGCAAACAAAGTTCATGACAGCATCATTCATAATAGCCAAAAGGCAAAAACAACCCAAATGCCCATCAACTGGTGAAAACATGAACAAAAGGTGGCATATTCTACAATGGAATACTATTCAAGAATTAAAGTAAGAAATGCAAATGCAATACTAATATATACTACAACATGAATGAACCTCATACACATTATACTAGATGAAATACATACACAAAAGACCACAATCATATGATTGTGTGATGTAGTCAAAAAAGGAAAATCTATAGGGTCAGAAACTAGGTTGTCTGAGGCTGAGGGTAAGAACAGAGATTAATATAAACAAACACAAAGGGATCTTACAGAAATGCTCTAAAACTGGACTGTGGTAAGGATTGCACAATTTGATAAAATTATAAATATCACTCAATTGTACACTTAAAATGGGTGAATTATATCTCAAGAAAGTTGGTTTTTTAAAGGAATATATCAAAATGGTTAATTAGCATTTGAAAAAGGACCTCATTATTCATCAAATGCCATCTACCTTTCGGGAAAAGGGAAGAGGTGCTGATTGAAGGCATGAGATAACATTATACATCATTTAGGATGGCTAAAATTAAAGAACTGAGGATTCTAAGTATTGATGAGAACATAGAGAGCTGGATCTCTCACACATTGCTAGCTATGGTGTAAACTGGTACAACTTCTGTGATCTGGAATTGCTCTCCTTGGTCCGTAACTGACAGAAAATATATACATATGTGCACCAAAAAAGACATGTTCAAAACTGCTTTTTTGTAACAGTAAACACTAGAAACCACCCAAATTTTGCTAACAGTAAAATGAATAATATGTTTTCATATATTGATATAATGGAATACTTTTGCCCCTTCTGAGTCCACAGTTCATCTGCATGCAGTTGGTTGTATCTATAGATTTGACCAACTACAGATGAACAGATGAAAAATGTTACACTGTTGCTGACTATGTAATTAAGCCTAACATGGTTATATATCTGTACTAAACACTTACATTTTTTCTTGTTATCATTCCCCATTCCCTAAAAAATACAGAATAACTATTTACATTGTATTAGGTATTATAAGTAACCTATAGATGATTTACAGTATATAGGAGGCTTTGCATAGGTTATATACAGATACTATGCCATTTTATAATAGGGAGTTGAGCATCCATGGATACTGGTATCCATGGGGGTGGGATCCCATGGATACCAAGGGATAACATACTACACAACAGGGTTTTCAACATCAGCACTTTGCAATGGATGAGTCTTTGCTGGGAGCTGAAGAGCAAGGCATGTTCTGTGCATTATAGGATGTTTAGCAGTATCCATGGCCTCTACGCACGCGATACTACTGTAGCCATCTCTGAGGTGAGACAACCACAAGTGTCTCTAACACACTGCTTACTCAGGGAGCAAAAATCACTCCTGGTTGAGAATTACTGCTCTGCAGTGATGAAAACAAATGATCTACTGCTACCTACAACACTATGGATTAATCTCACAAATATAATGCTGAGCAAAAGAAGCCAGACACAAGAAGAGTGCATACTGAAAGAATCTTATTCAAAAACAAGCAAAACAAAACAGTGTGAAAAGTCTGAAAGGAGACTAGCTTTAAGGAGGAGGGAAGGGACAATGACTGAGGGCACGAGGAGGGCTTCTGGGATGCTACTTGTGCTGTACTTCTTGGCTTGGGTGGTGGTTACATGGGTGGGTCACTTCATAATAATTTGTCAAGCTTATGATTTATATACTTTTCTCTATGGATTTTATACTTAAAATGTTTTTAAACATGTTTATTTTACTATAATAAAAATATTGTCAAAATCTGTGGACACAGTTAAGCTATACTTAAAGATGAAAGTATAGCTTAAATATACATATGGTATCTAAATGTAATAATTTCCAAGAATTGTCTTAGAACTTTTACAATTTGGGCAATGAAGTTCCAATCACATACCTGAATATATGCTCTAGCAGAATCTTTGAAATAACGCATTTAAACACTTTTAAAAATACAGATTTAATGTCTAGAATGCTTACAAAAAAATGTATCAGCCAGCATAAGTGTGAGGTTAGGCAAATGATTAAAGCAGAGGGAACCGTATCATAGAATATCGAAACCTCAGAGAACTTATTTTACTAATATATGTGTCCTTCCATCCTTTTATTCATTTATTCCTTCACTTTTAGCTCAAAACTTACTTCCATTCTTCTTAAAAAACAAAGAAACACTAAAAATAAAGAAAAATTCTGTATAGCTTAATTCTTTTTAATTCGAAATGTGTTCCTGCAAAATATATAGTATTATTCAGGTTTATGTATTTTTAATTTATGCAATGATTAAGAGTTCTTGTTGCATTCTGCTTCTTCCTTTTTTTCTTAGGCATTATGTTTTTAACATCCATTTCTGTTGCTATGTATATATTTAATCCATGTGTCCACTTTTTGCCAGTTCCCTCTTTCGGTAATGGACACCGAAGTGGTCCGTCCCCAACATCATCACCACTACAGATAATGCTACAGTGAAATCATTATCTGCCGTTATCATTACTCTTTTTCCTTACTAGTTCTTGGCTTTGCTCTGTAGCTCTTTACCCCCTTCTTGAGTTGGCATGGTTAGCTCATTTATACGAGTATTTACCCTTTTGTCTGCTGGTATACACAGGGTGGGACAAAAGTAGGTTAACAGTTGTGAGTAGGCAAAATGCAGAATTTATCCTTGCATTATTATTTCTTAACTACTATATTATTTTCCATATGAACAACTGTAAACCTACTTCTGCCCCACCCTGTACAAGTGTATAAATAAAACAAATAGAAAAGTCTTAGATGTGCTTCAGATCTTAGATAAGATCTTCAGATATTAGACCAAGTAAATAGTATCTACATTTTACATGAATTTCCTTTAAATAGTAAATCTTTGATTATTTAATTGTATAATGCCAATAGTAATACAATCATCAACAGAGAGAAAACATTTCTTCTATTAAATCCAAGACATCCGGCTCTAAAGACAAGAGAGTTCAGTTAGAGTTGTTAACTAACCTTCCCCGGGCCTGTCTCACCTGAAGCAACTCCAGGATGGAGCCCTGGCTCTTCTTCTCTACCTCTAAGATGAGCTTCTTTAAGGAAGTGATTATCTCGTTGAGCCTTAATGTGTTCTCAGCCTGTTTCTTTTTTGCCTCTTTTTCTTCTTCGCTTATCCTCTGAAGAAACTGTTGCTCTTCTTCAGCCAGGAAGTGGTGTAGCTTTGCGAACTGTGCACTGACTGTCAACTGCTGACTATTCATCTTGTCCTAGAGCCACATGAGATTTGCTCAGTTTCTGTTTCTGCCTAGTCCATACTTCTAAATTACTTGCACATGACTCCCCAATAACTCATGTTCCTTCATTTTAATCACCTCCTCCAGAAAAGCTCCTGCCCAGTCCCCACAAATTTCCACTACTCCTCTATTTACACTTAATATCTTTATACTTGTCTTTATAGCATTAATTCATTCTTTGTAACATCTGAGTCTCTCCTATTGCTAGTAATGCCTTGTTTGTATACTTTCTAAACCAAAAAGGATGTTCACATCTACTATTTAGTTTAGACCTCAGAAGATCTACTGTTCAGTTTTGTTAAATCATCTTTAGATATGTGTGTGCATACACAATCATGCCTCCCAACTAGATCAGCATCTGTGAAAGCAAAGTCCATTTACTTTCTACCATGTCATGGACCCAAACCAATTCCAGCCTTAGGAAAAAGGAGGGAAGGGGCACCACCTTAAAGTAGAGATGGGGATGAAGTGTATGGAACTCACAGGTCTGTACTTCCTGTTCTGTCACCGTATCTGCAAGGGGCCTGACAATGGATAGCATCCTACAAGCTCATCCCAGAGAAATTACATATGCAACTGCAGACTGAAAGAGCCTCAGAGGCAAGAAATGTCCAACCACTTCTGCTGTTACCTTCCATTCTGCAGCATTCTTCATTTCCGTGTCCTGTAACTGCATGGCTTTCTCCATCTTGTCCGTTAGACTGTGTTTAGTCTTAAGGAGTTTCTCCTGTCAGCAGAAACACATATCAGAAAGAAATCATCTTTCCAAGCATCTTCTTTGTTCAAGAGCCAGAAGTCACCTAATCCAAACAGGAAATTATATTGAGAAAATGTTGAAGATGGTCACAGGGCATCTTCAGAATAAGAAATATTCTGGTCTTAAATAGTCACAACACTGTATAGAGTTTTCCTATTAAGTTGGTAAAAACTAAAAATTGTTAGAGGATTAATAAATACCCAACATCGCAAGGGAGAAAGCCTCTAGCACCATAACAGGAAAGTCTAAAGTTGCCATCTTTTTGAAGGGCACTGGCAAGATTTAACAAAATTTACAATGTGTATAATCCTACTTTTAATAATCTTTGCAACAAAACACTACCTAAAATAATCAATATATATATTCAAATATTCACTGAAGCGTTATTTATTATCCTTAATGGGAAATTATTAAAGAAATTATGATATATTGATACTCTACATCAATTTCAGTTAGCGCTCTCTATATTGACATGTTACATTAAGTTAAAACTAAGCTGTAAAACAACAGTATTGTATCATTCTGTTTTGCAAAGAATGTGTGTTTGAACACAAGGAAAATATGGGAGAATATACAACAAAGTATTATTAACACTGGTTATTTCTGGAGGATAGAAATGCCTTGAAAGTTGGGGGAAGGGGAGACAAGAAATTTTACAAATTTGTTTCGTTTGAATTTCTACAAGACTCATATGACATTTTTGTAATTTAAAAACCTGAATAAGGGACTAAAAAATAAAATGACTCAGTCAGCATTAACCAAGTGGGCTACCGAAGGGAAGCACCTGGGAGCAGAAGATCAGACATGACACTGGAGACAGAGCAGGCAGACAAGAGACCAAATGGCTGCAGGAAGAAGGGGTCCAGAAGGAGCACCCAGGAGTCAAACCTCCGGGTTCTGGCTTGAGTAACTAGGTGGACTGTAGGTCATATACCAAATTAGAAAACATAGGGAGATGAGCAATATGTAAATGGAAGGAAAGAAAATAAATTCAGCTTGAATAAACTGAGTTTGAGATATCTGTGGATCATCCAAATAGACAGATAGAGTTTGCAGTTAAGAGTGAAGAAAGATATCTGAACTACACAAGCAGATTTAGGGATTAGGGCACAGGAAGCAGTTGAAGCCATGGGTGTGAGAAAAATCACGCAGGAGAATTCTACCTCATTTAAAAAAAAAAAAAAAAGTATTAAGGCTAAAATTGGGAACAACTACATGGAATCTGCAGAGAATGAAAATCATGTAGAGAAGCCGCAATCAGTGGTTGGTGAAAAACCATGGGATAATGGCTTCTTATACACAAAGGAAAAGAATATTTAAATTAAAAACTGGTGAAAACTGTCAAATGCTGAAGAACGGTCTAGGGCAACTTTCTGTAAGTTTGTATGTATATCAAAATTAAAAGCTTAGAAGAAAAAAAATGAATAGAACAAAGATATAAGCAGTATAATTAATTTTTTAATTCTTATTTAGGAGAATAATAAAAACTAATAGGCATCACTTTTCTTCCAATTATTTATAAATGACAATGCTTAAAGTTAGATCATTGAAAATACAACACCAAAGGTGCCAAGAATGTGGTGCAACCAGGACTCTCATACAATGTTGGTGGGTATGTGAAATAGTACAACCACTTCAGAAAAAGGTCTAGCATAAAACTAAACATACATTAATCCTAGAGTCCAGCAATTCAACTCCTTCTCCCAAGAAAAATTAAAACGTGTCTACAAAAATACCTGTATGAGAATATTCATAACAACTTCATTCAGGAGAGCCAAAAACTATAAATAGCCCAGGAATCTACTGGTAGGAAAACAGATAAACAAACTGAGGTATGGTCATATGAGGAACACTACTCAGCGGTAAAAAGTAGCAGTACTGATATGCACAAAGGGATGAATTTCAAAATCAATGTGCTAAGCAAAAGGAGCCTATATAGAAAAGTGCAGACTATATAATTCCATTTACATTAAGTTCTAGAACAGGCAAAATTAATCTGTGGTGGGGGAAAAAAAACACAGAAAAGTAGTTAGTTGCATTGAGAAGGGGAAAGGAACAGAGACTAACTGGAAAAGAGCATGAAGGAGCCATTTAGGGTGATGGTAATGTTCTTTATCTTGGGAAGGGCTTGGCGGTATGCAATTTGTCAAAGCTCAGCAAATATACACTTAAGATGTGTGTATTTAAATGTATTAAATTTTACCTCAAAAAATACCATAAACAAATGTTAACTCTGGTGAATGATAGGCACACTAAAATATAGAAGTGTACTGTCTGCAATTAACTTTAAAATGTGTCAAAAGGAAATAAGAATTGACGGATGCAGAGAGGATATAGACAGATGAATAGGTGGTAAGTAGAATGAAATGTTAATGGTAGAATCTAGATGTGGGTATAGTTACTATAAAATTCTTCCAACTTTGATATATGTTTGAAAATTGCACAGTAAAATGTTGGGGAAAATAACGTTAGGCTATAAAGGGGTTTATACAGTAGTTCTGTGTTATGTATCACAAAATCACCTGTGCTATTTTCTGACACAATGTTTTCTAGCATTGTAAAATCTATTTATTATCCCTAGTTGTTCACCTAAATAGTTATATGATCCTGCTACTCAGTAAGCTAAGTAATTATCTCAAATAATTTGATTCCTTTATTCAATTATATAACTGCCACTTTGTGATCACTGTCAAATTTGATGTATACATGAGGCTTGTAACGAGGTAAACAGCTCCTATGAATGTGACCAAGATATTTTTTAGTTTTCACTTTTGTTTGATAATGAGAAAAATTAAATAATCTTTTAAATAGAATTTTTCAACTTTTTAAAGCTTTTAACAATTCTAGTATGCATGAATTATCCTGCATGGTTGGTTCTATTACCCAAGACTCTCACTACCATATTTTGCCATGTATAATGGGCACTTTTTTGCCCGAATTTTTGAGGGAAAAATAAGGATGCACAATTACACATTGGCAGTCCCTGAAATGCCTTGTATCTGCTCTTGTGTTTTGTAATTATTTGTTATATAAAATTTCTTGTACCATAATATGTTCAAAAATAAATGCTAAATTCCTTTATAATATAAAAAACAAGTATTTAAATATAAATAAATAACTGAATTAAAAAATTAAAATGAAAGATGTTTTTTTCCTGAAAGTTTGGGCCAAAAACGTGAGTATGTATTATACACGGGAGCGCATTATACATGGCAAAATACAGTAAGTCTTTCTGAATCTTGCCACATTTGTTATATAAATAGTCCCTGAGTAAACTTGGGAACCCTTCAGGTAGATTAGAAAACTCCTTCCCTGCAATAACAGAAACTGCCAGGATATGGCAGGATGGCAAAACCAAGCATTTCAAAGCTGGGAAGGCCTTTTTTCTAAAAGCATTTTCTCTTCATTTAACATCAGAAAATTGTATATAGACCTTAAGTATAATAAAAGTTCATACACTTACTTGTCTGTCTTTTGTCTATCTCCCACTCTGACCTCAACTAGACTATGCATTTTATGAAAACAGTCTTTACCTGTCTTGTTCACCATTGTGTTCCCAGTGCTATGACTGGTGCTGTAGTACAGTGTCTGACACAAAACAGGCATTCAAGAAATATCTGTTAAATGAATTAATAGCAATGGAGGGATTAGCTCTGAGAATCAGCATACTAAATAGCAGCACGATGGTAAGGAAGGCAGTGCTTGGAAGCCTTTTCTGGCAAACAATCTGCTCCCTCAAGTTTATGAAGTTATTTCTTTTTTTCTGTTCCCTCTTTTTTTCCTCCTCCACCAACGCCTCTCTTAAAAACAACTTGTGTTCCAAAAGACTTTCTGAGATTTCCCTCTGTGAAAGTATTAAGATGTAGGTGTATGGTTCTCTATCCTGCATGTACATTAGAATCACCTAGAAAGAACTTTTAAACAATGCTGATGCCAAGGACCCCACCAAGTGAATCAAAATGCCTAGGAGGTGGACGGGGAGGGGAGCAGGGGGTGAGGCCTGGCTTGGGTATTTCTTAAAAATTCTCCCAGGCCATCCTATTGTGTGTCCTGAGCCAATGGTATGGCCCAAAGAGAGCAAGCAGAGTGGACTAGGAATTCATCAAAGGCGGTTTTCTGGATGCAGTGCTCTGTAGCTCAGATCCTGAGAGAAAGCACCTGGCACACTGTTTGCCAGGCTCAGGTGTAGGAGTAGGATGGGGGATATTTTCCACGGATTAAGGAAATGTCAACTTTTAGGACACAGCCCACCCATCTGAGTATATGCTGGAAACGGTATGCTTGGCAACAGGGTAGCTCCACCCAAGAGCAACTTCGTGTTTTTCTAACAACTGGGGGTAGGGACAGAAAGTGCAGAGCAGGGTAAATAGCAAGGAATTCAGCCTAATGATGCGACTCCTGAACACCCACCCAGTCAACCCTGTGATAGCCATCCTAATGTTACTCTTCTCTACTCACTCCCCACCTGTTGGACATACTATTTAATCCTGAAATCCCACCTCTCTCAAGAAGTCTTGTTGACTGGATTAGATGTGGCATAGTGGATAGTACAATGGATCAGGAGTTAGAGAATCCCAATTTAAAGTTCCCTACTTCCTAGCTCTGTGACCTTGGGCAAGTGACCTCTCTGCGTCTCAGTTGCCTCATTATTATTATATACTTATTATATTTATTATTAATTATTATGTTATTATATTATTAATGAATTAATATTATTATTAATACTATTAATATTATTGTTATTGCTGAAGATTTAAGATTTAAGGGCTATGTTCCCCTTTCATACTCATCCACTTTATTTGCCTCAGCCCTCACCCACAAATGTGTTTTCCCTTCCATTTCTCTGATGGGTCCTTTCAACCTCTTTTGCTGGTTACTAAGCACTGATATTTCCCAAGCTGCTCTTCATGCCCCCTTTTTCTTGCCCTCTATATGGTTCCCCTAGGGGATCTGATCTGCTTACTTCTCTACAATTTTAAGGATATGCTGACAATTCTAAAATAATGTTTCAAGCCTCTGATGCCTTCTGCCTCCTGTTCCTCTTCCTTGGACTTCCTGTCACAGTTACTTCGCACTCTACATGTCCCAAAATGAGTACTAGAAACCTGGACTGCCATCCTAGAACCCTCTCTCCCCCTCACCTACCAAGTTCGGTTGGTCAGCAAGTCATTCAATTCCAGGTCACAATGAATCCATCCCCTCTTCTCCATCATCCCTGCCCCACACAAATTCAGGCCCTTATTGCCTCCTGCTTGAAATGGCGCAACAGCAGTCTAATTGGTCTTCTCCATCCCCATAGATACCAAAGTGATCTTTCTAAAACAAAACACTGACGGAGGCGTTCCCTACCTTTAAATCAACCCCTCGATGATTCCCTACGGCCTCAAAGAGAAAGCTGTGAAGAGGATCCTTCATGACCTGGCCCTTGACTTTCTCTTCAACCTCAACTCCCACCATCCCCCCTCCCATGTCCTACACTGCAGAAGTACCAAGCAACCTCCAGTCCTCTTACATACCACACGTTACTCCACACTGCCACACTGAATATGCTGGTCCCTTGGCTTGAATATCCTCCCTTCCCTCCCTTGCTGCATTCATCCTTCAGGACTGAACTCATTTTTAACATCTCTGTGAAGCTACTCCTTACTCCTCACTGAGCACTCTGACCTCAGACTTTCTGTGTACTTGGTACAAACCTAGGTAACTCTCACACTGAAATTATTGGTGTACATGCTTACATACCCTACAAGACAAGGCCCATATCTTTCTCATTTGTTTATGTCCAGACTCTAGAACAATGGTTGGCATACAGTAAGCATTAATAAATGTTATTGAATGAAGGAATTAATGTATACTTCATTGTCTAGCTTTACATGTTTCCTGTCTGCAGTTGGCTGATAAAACTGTACAGCATTTCATAGTTTACAAAATACTTTAACTTGTATCATTAAATTAATGCATTTGACCAGTAATTACTAGATACCAATTCTGCGGGAGACCACTGGAGTTACACCGTCCATAATGATAGGGGGTCGGGCAACCCAGGAAAGGATGATCAAGGAAGGTCTTGAAGCTAAACGCAAGTAAGCTCTAAAGAATGGAAGGTGTGGGTAAAGAAAGAGAAGAGCCTTGAAACAAAAGCAAGAAGGCCAGTGTGGCTGGAGCAGAGTAGCATAAACTGATTTATTCAACTGAATCTTAACTAATGCATGAGATACAACAAATAATCTACAATTCAAACATTAAGTGATTTTCCCAACTGATGAAGGAAGCTACTAAAATCCAGCCTCATCGCTCCACCCTATGCTTTCCCAGATCATCAGCGGTCAATGACACCTATAGGATGGACCTGCACTGTCAATTGCCACAGGGGTGCCTGAAATGTGAGAGCTGGAATTGAATATGTGCAATGAATGCAGTACACACAGATTTTAAAGACCTACTATGAAAAATATCTCACTGGTAATCCTTCACAACAATGTTAAACAGCATTTTGGATAATTAGGTTAAATAAAATATATTATGAAAAATTAACATTACCTGTTCTTTTTAACACTATACAAATGTTTAATTACACATGTGGTTTGCCTTATGTTTCCACTGGACAGCACTGGTATACAAACGCCGTCTCAGTGTGTTTGTCTTAAACTAGAAGCTTCCCAGGAACGTTCCCTGAAAGTTTCTCCGTGACGAGGAGTCTTGGACCGCCCCATCCCACTCCCAGTTTTAACTTGAGCTCTAAGATCCGTGTGGCATAACGTTTTTGAGCCTCACGGAGGGGGTTCATGCTTCCAATGGGACTAGCAGGCACTTCATGGGGCTCAAATTATAATAAAGTAAACGGTCAACATTCCCGGGCAATACCGGCAGCCCCATCATAGCCAGCTCACCCTGTAGCTCTCGAAGGCCTCGTCCACGGGCGCCATGGTGTGGTTCTGGTGGTCCTGGGACTCCCTACACACCAAGCACACGGGCCGCTGGTCGTCCTCGCAGAAGAGCCGCAGGGGCTCCCCGTGGCGGTCGCACAGGCCATCGGTCTTGGGAACCCGGCGCCGGCGCCGCGCCTTCTCCGCCAGCTGGGACAAGGCCCAGTTGGGCCGCAGTGCGGAGGGCGACGACGGCTGCCGGCACTCGGGGCAGGACAGCCGGCTGCGGCCCTGTTCCAAGCTGCGGCGCAGGCAGCCGCGACAGAAGTTGTGGCCGCACTCTATGGACACCGGATCCTGGAAATACTCCAAGCAGATGGAGCAGGTCAGCTCCTCTTGGAGGTCTTCCGCAGCCATGACGCTTCTCTTCTCCAGAGCCAGAGTCGGCCCCGCCTTGAGGCGCGAGAGTGGCCTGCAAGCTGCAGGCGAGTGGGGGAACCCGGAGGCCGCACTTCCGGGATAGGGCCTTAGTCCCAGCTCTTTCCGGCTCGGAGGCGGCCCTTCCCCGCACAGGTGTGGCGGGGCAGCGGCGCTCGGGCTCTGGAGCCGCGGGGTGTTGGTGCGGGGCTCTCCAGGCCTGGACACCGGGCATAGCCGGACATGGGCACTTCCTCCCTTCAATAATAGAGAGGTGGCCAGACCCCTAGATGGAGAGCAGGGCGACAGCTAGTTGGGGGGCAGAGGATGGGGGGAAATTAGGGGGTGGAGGGGTTGAGGAAAAAGGAAAAAGGACTCATGGACATGGATAACTGGGGTGATTGCTGGGGGGAGGGGGTATAAGGTGACTGGTAATAGAAAAAATACAATAAATATCAAAAAAATAAAAGCTGGAAAAAGACAAAGAAAATGAATGTATTGTAACTTGAAGCGAAAACTTAACTGATTCTTTGGAACATAATGCTGCAGTATGTTTAACAGTTCTATAAAGTTCCAAACCATGCATAAGTAAATAATGCATAGTTTAAGGAGACAAACACTATAGTGAAGTCGATGGGGGGTGGGGGGGGAGCTAAGTGTCTAATAGTATTTTTAAAAAAATAGAGCTGCAGAAAATCCCCCTGGGAAGCCTATAGAGAAAGCAAGGAATGGTTAAGTTTGGGGAGGGCGCCCAGTGCCGCGACTAGCCTGTGCTGCCACAGCTAGTGCAGCTAAACCCGGAGGCGCTAACGGATTTAACTTGTCCATCAAGTTTTTATTTAACATACAATAAAATATTTATTTTACTGTTGTAAAATTAAAACATAGTAGCAAGCATAAATAGCTATGTTGGCACCGAGGAGATCAGCACCAGGTGTTAGACCTGTGGGGTCAGCCTCTACTTCCATACAGAGTTCTGGCTAGGAAAGAATTCAGAGCCAAGACTCAAATTATAAGAAAAAAAATTATTTAGTAAGTCACAGAGGTAGAAGAAATGAGTTCAGGAAACAAATTACAGAGGCAAAAGAAAGGCCCTTGGAATTTAAGAGAGGAAGGTAAAGGTAACTTGTCTAGAGGGAGAGACAGGCAAGAGGTGGAGCACTGCTCTGGAAAGGAGAACAAGAGCATTGGGTCCTTCTTAGGGCTTTTAAGGGTGGAAATCTTAGGGGAGGTCCCAGAAATATTCATCAGCTTTCCAGGTGTGTCCTTTCAGGGTCCTAGTCTCCACTGATGGGTCAGCACCAGGGCAGGGGGGCATTAGTCAGTGCAGCTTGTCCTGAGGTCAGCCATGGTGTGGCTTGCCTGGTTTTACTGCTTTTTGAAGCCTGGAGCTGAAATACAATTGAGGCCTAGATGTCATCTCTAGGGAAGAAAGTTCATAGGTCGAAACCATATAACCAACTATGTGCATGGGGAGGAAAGATCACCCTGTTGGGCAAAGTCCTTATTTTCTGAGTTTTGACCATCGCTAGGCACCTGGGACTTTCTGCCCTGGTGGCCCTCTGTACCTGACCCATTGTCTTTGCTCTGCTCATGTCTGTCTAATTACCTACCACAGTTACAGTTCCAAAGCAGAGCAATACAAATATATAAATTATTGCAGTTTTAAATGAAAAGTGTAACAGCCAAATAATGTCTAAATAAAAATATTTGAAACCAACTTGGCTTTGACGATTGCAGTTGAATTTTCTCTTTCCAAATGTCTTAGCTGTCCATCAGGTTCTTAGAGGTCAGCTTAAGAGTCGCTAGCTGCTTTGGTGATTTAAGTGCTGGAGTCCTAAGCAAGCTGCACCTAGGCGGGCATTGTGGGCCCTCCAGGAGGACTAGATGTATCTGTGTAGCTGGGCCGGGAGTGGGACTAAGGAGGCGCTGGGCCCATTAGGTTTACTATCCCTGAAGTCCCTCTTTTTCAGCTTCATCCTCCAGGGAAAGGAACCTGTTCTCAGCATCCGATTCAAGGGTCTAGTTGAGTTCCTAGAAAAGCAAGATATCCTGCTCCACCAACAAAAACCACCAACTCTCTGGAGTCCAGTGAACCTGAGAGCCAGCTTTCCATGATGTAAGCAAGAAAGGGAGTGGTTAGCCTCATCTCCTGCCACTCTGATTTCCCTCTCTTTCTTACCAAGCATAGGAAGTTCTAGGTAGTGGAAATCCATTCTTAGGACATGGGGCACATTCACCAAATGCCAAAAGGGGTTCTAGTAGTTAAATTAGGGGAAGGAATCTAGGGTTAGGTGGTTTTCCCCGGATTTGTCTTCCCATCAGTGTTTTAAGCAGTTCAATTCCCAGAAGGTCTGCAGGCAATGAGACGCTCTAAACCAACTCTGGGAGATCTGCTGCGAGTGGCAGTTGTCTGAGATGCTGGAAAGGGGCAAATCCTGCAGCTGATGGTGCTGGAGCAGTTTTTGTTCCTCCTCCCGGAGTAGGTCATGACTAGCACGTGAGAGCAATGGTTGGAGATTGGAGCGGAAGCTGCAGCTGTGTAGGACATTGTGAAAGACCTGATAGGACCTGGAGAGTGGGTAAAAAGGAAATGAAGTTTTTTACGTTGGAATGGTTAAGATTCAGAAGCACAAATGCATTGCCTTCTGGTACCCAGCTTGAAGACAGCACCATTTTGCTATCCCAAGCAACATCCACTGAGGCTTTCAACAAATGATATGCTTGTCTGTTTCAGGGAATTATCTCTTTCTCTTCAATGGATTTTTAATCTTGTGTTTCTGAGGTGCTTCGTTTTTGGTTTTTTCTTCCCACATTGTTCCTTTTCTTATGAATGAAGTCTTTAGTTCCTCTCGTGTCCCAGTATCAAACACTGCCTTTCCCATAATATGCTCAATGAGTATTTACTGAATGTACGATTAAATGATTGGAAAGGGAGTTTCTGCAATTTCTGTTTTGGGGTTTTTAATAAAAGTCCTACAGAATATCTAGTTTTAAAATGTTTAAGTTATACAACTAAGAAATGCATTTCTTTGTCAATTGGCTAGGAAAGAATTCTTAATTGAGAAGGACTCAGAGTCCTTCTATATGTTCTATATTGAGAAGGACTTTGAGTCTTAATTCGGACCAAGGAGGAAGAAATGTTCTTATCAGTTCATCTTTATCATGTTTGCCATGACTGTTTGTGGTATGAGTGTGTGTCTGTGTGTCTGCCTGTGTACTGTGCGACCAGAAATGAGGCCCTATGTCTCATTAAGGTCCTAGGTCTTCAATCCTACTGTACTGCTAAGATGAAGGCCCTTCTTTACTGAAAATATTGAGGCTCTCCAATTCACAATTTTATTCATCTGGAATTTCAGGGAACCACAGATAGCCAAACAATCTTGAAAGATAAGAACAAAATAGAAGGACTCACACTTCCCAATTTCAAATTTATTACAAAGCTACAGTAATCAAAACATGTGGTACTGGCATAAAGATAGAATATACATCGGTGAAATAATGTTAGGAAAATTTCCTGGGGCCAGGAGGCTGAAGAAAGCGGCTGACAACTCCAGCATTACATCAAGAGTTTTTAAAAAGAACTTACATATGAGGCATGCCTTGGACAGCAGCAAGACAACATGGATATCCTCCATGCCACATGGCAGGCACTGAAGGGTTTTATGGCACAGGGCAGTACTGGGGTGCAACAAGCCCCAGATAAGGGGAAACCATCTTACAGGCTTGCTCAGAGCAGGACAAAGGCGTGTTCAAGAAACCAGCATGCCTGGGGCATAGGGTAGGGGTTGACTGGACGTTTTCTGAGGGGATTTATGGGAGGCTATCTCTGTTCTGGCCCAGATCTAGCTAGATCTAGTTTAAGGGTCCACAGCGGTCACATATGGGACATTCTCTTCTCCACAAATCAAATTGAGAATCCAGAAAAGATGTCTCATATATACAAGCCATTGATTTTCCGCAAGGGTGCCAAAGTAATGTTTGGGGTTATGGAGTTTTGGGCGGTATAGTGTTTCCTTTTGAGTTGATGAAAATGTTCTAAAACTGTGTCAATGGATATACAACTCTGTGACTATACTAAAAGGCACTGAATTGTATAGTTTAGATGGATGAATTATATGATACCTGAAATATATACATATCAATAAAGCTGTTTAAAAAGGGATACTAGCAAGGAGGAATTACAAATGGTGACATTTGCTTTTTTTCCATTCTTAGTTACTTGGCTGGGCTCTGACTATAGCGGATAAGGGGATTCTTTATGAAACACTTATGTAGCAGAAAAAAATTATTATTTTACTAGCTATTGCCAAAGTGTCTCTTGGGGAACCAAATATCTTTCCTTTGGGATGCACCTTCTGAATTTACTTGGGGATAATTTCGGATTGAGAAGGAGAAAACAGAACTAGATAACTGCTCTTTGTTGAGAATTTGAGGACAAGGAAGAACTGAGGAGAGGTGTTTCTGCAGAAAGGTGGGAGGCTAGAACACTCTTGGACAGAAATGACTGAAAGACTCAAGAAAAGAGAAACCTGCTATTCATTCAGCTTTAAATTACATGCCAAACACACGGTGATGTAAACATCCCTTATTGTTAGCCCTGAATCAGCAATAGAACTTTGTCTTTTCTTAGTGTGGTATGGAGGGGGATGAGTTGAAAAGGTAGAGACTTAACACCACATAGAAGGTGCTGCTGTGCTGGAGCCAGGGGATCAGCTGTCATGAAACAAGAAGAGATTGAGAATTGAGCAGAAATCAGAGCTGTCAGTGGTCCAGGGGACATAATCCTCTGAATTCACGGTAATCTTCCTAAAGGTCGTGGCGAAGTATTTGAATAAATCTAATCTATATATTAAAGGGCACTGTGTTATATATGCTTGGAAGGCCAGAGTTTCTGGATAAGATATATACAATGACTTGGGGATATTCAGGGTTACAGGGCTTTGAATTTGGGGGAGCAGAGAATGTGGAATGACAGGAGAGAGATAAGTAGAGTCACTGAGACAGGAAGGAGAATTGTCTTTAGCAGCAAGAATACCGCCAACAATAGTCAATCTTTATTGTGCAGGACAAAGGAGAAACATGGTTTTATGGAGGTTTCTGCTGGCTGACTCTGGAACAAAGCCCATAAAAATTGTGATGCTGACACCAGAGAATTCTGGCGAGAAGGCACAAGCAGTTCTTAAGGAAATGCTTTAGGCAGCATGGTCCACTATGGCCCTTAGAGATGCTTCAATAGCCTCTAACTTGTCACAGAGGTAAATCTCCACACACTGGATGTTGGAGAGAAGATCCAGTCATAGGGTTTCCTTCAGAGTCGAGCCAGGTGTCTTTATAACTCTGCAAAGTAGAGAATCGAGCAGAAGCTGAGACTTTTTCTAAATGGTAAGAGAGTTCAGTGGAAGGACAAGGAGTTACAACTGACTGAGCACTCTGGTCATGGTTCAGAAGGAGTCATCAAATTGACAGAGATGGGGGTTGGGCTGGGAGCAGTGGACCAAACATCTACCTAGAAACTGGTTTTCTACTTTTTAAATTGAATTTATAGGAGTGACATTGGTTAATAAAATTATATAGGTTTCAAATGTACGGTTCTATAATACATCATCTGTATATTGTATTGTATGTTCACCAACCCAAGTTCAGCCTCCTTCCATCACCATTTATACCCACGATACCCACTTCTACCTTTCCCCACCCCCTTTTCCCTCTGGTAATCACCATGTTGTTGTATGTGTCTATGAGGGTTTTTTGTTTGGTTGGTTGGTTTTGCTTAATCCCTTCACCTTTTTCTACTTTGTAACATGTGGGAGTTGGACTTCCCAGAAGGTAAGGGACTTGCCAAGGGGGATCATCAGGACAGAGACATTAGGCAAAGAAAAAAAAGGGAGATCAATACCTTTCTCACCTGCTACTCGGAACTGGTCTTTTGATTCCACCACTGGGAAGTTATCATTTGGTTCCTTGTGTTTTCTGGTGCTCTCTGAAGTTGGAAAGTAGTTAGAAGAGGAAGATTTTTGCTTCCAGGTCTGCCACCATCTCCCCAGGCCCAAAAGTACAAGCTCCAAAAGAGTAAAGAAGAGACAGAGTCCACTGACCCCAAACATGGTCTTTAGGAAAATGGACTTCTCAGTGGGGCGGGACAGATTACAGGTTATACTACCAAGGCAAGGCTCTCGACGACATGCGAAGGAGCTGGGCATCTTGAAGCCATAGAGATGGTACTGCCCTCCCAAAGCTGCACCCTCAAGGACCAGTCGCACCCCCAGCTGTGCCACATAGGCCCAGAGCAGCCTGGGCCTTCCAGCCCCTGAGGCATCTGCGCTGCCGTGTCCTTGTCGAACCAGGGTCTCCTCTTCCTTCTTCACCTTTCCTGAGTCTTCCCAATGCCAGATGCCATGATACATGGTGCAACCCATGTAGAGGACACTGGGCACAGCCACCAAGATGACCTGGAAGGCCCAGAAGCGCAGTGGGGAGAGGGGGTGGAAGGCATCGTAGCAGGCAGCCTTGCAACCTGGCTGCTGGGTGTGACACACGAATTCGCTCTGCTCATCGCCATAGACCCCGGTCCCACTGGCAGCCAGCAGCACAAGGCGGAACCCCAGGAGCACAGGAAGAAGGAGGCGCCCCACAGGGGTGGAGTGCCAGCTCTCCTCAGCCACCAGCCGCCTCAGGAAACTGCCACACATCCTGCTATGGAGCACAGGACAATGATAAGTGTAGATGTGTTGCTCACTGTCCTTTAGGAGGAGCCGTAGGCCACCTTTTCACTCCTAATTCAAAGATGGGTAGGGCAAGCCTTCTCGTTCTTCTCCAAGGACCTGGTTGATCAAATAATGAAACTCTGATTGCACCTATTTATATAATTAACTGGATCATCTTTGTAAAATAATAATAGTGAATAAGTGTGGGTGTGGCTCTCCCTTCTGTCCTCCCCTGTTCCCCACTGCAGGGGAGAGGAACTCTCAGCGTTGGGTAGAGACCACTGTCTGTCTTATCTCTCTTTCCCTCCTTCCCTCTCACTCTAAATAGGCTGAATAGTAAGAGGCCAGTGTCCTCTGAAAACATACTTCCTCAGGTGATGACTGCCCGCTCTGAGGCTACTGTCAGCATCATCTGAACAAAATCAGTGCTGACCTTGGGGGGAATGGGCATTCTCTTGTTTTCTGCCTTTCCCCAGCTCATTGCCTTCAGGTGCTCACAGGTGCGTCAGGCTGGCCTCTGCGCCCACCACAAAGTAAAACTGAGATGTGGTTACATTAGGGTGCTCCATAGGGATCAAATGAAGAGAGTGAGCATCACAGCTTGCTTTAGTCTAATGGTCTTTAGCCTAGGAAAAGGACAGCTTTTTAAAAAAGAAAACACAGCAAAATCTACTACTTAAATGTAATGGGGTTTGATCAAAGCCAGAATTTATCAGAAAAAATTTAAATTTGATTTTCCTTTGCCATTATTACTTGGGCTCATGTCCCCTTCACGGTGAGAGGTGATCATGGTTGGGAACAAACTTCAGCAATTTCTCTATTCTCTGGATAAAATGTCATCATGCTACCAGCCCAGTTTGTCATCTTTATCTTTGTTCCAATTAGCAGTCTTCTTCAATGCTCAGCCACTTTTTCTAACCATCACCATTAAACCCAAACTCTTACACACCTGGTTCCCCTTGCTCTTATAAGACCACACAAACCTCTTATTCTCCAGGGAAAATAGACTCTATGATGTGAATCCTCAAGGCTACAGCTTCTCTCGTCTTCACAGTCACTTCTTTCTATAGCATCTCAGAGAAAGAAGTGGCCCTACACTTGTCCAAGTCTACTCTCCCTTGCAAATCTGTGTCTTTGGGTCTCTCCTTTCTGGTTTCTTCAAGGATTTGATCCCTAAATTACCTTTCCTCTAATTTGGACCACCCTTATTTCCTCTCTGACTGTGAACTTGTTTAGGTTTTTCCCTTTTTAACTCCAATAATGGTAACCTGAATTTCTAAGTTATTATGGCAGCAAATGAAACATGCTTAATTTGTCCTGTACCAACTTTCCAATTATGATACCCACAAAGATGCATAAAACATTTTTAAATGGGCGTTAGTGTAATAAACTATAGATAAGAACAGGCCATATGCCAAAACTTAGACAGAATTGTCCCTTCTGTATAATCGGAAGGGACGGATTAAGGCGCTTCCAAAGGTTTCAGTTGACCAGAGAAATATGTCCCCAATCACCAACTGTGAGAAACCATATTTTGAGCCACTAGAAATCAAGATTTTGAATCTCTGCCTGCTCCTCAGTCCCTATCTTTCTATCCCCATCAAAGATTGTGAAGACTCGGAAGTATATCAGTCCACTGAAATTTCTTTCCTATAAAATTGGGTTAAAATTTTTAGAAGAAACCTATTTCAGTCCTTAGAAAGATGCAAAATTGCCCTCATCAATAAAGATGGCAAATTGAAGATAGAGATTTATCTCCTCTCATTGCCAAGACTCTTCAAAAGTGAGAGTAAATGGATCTTTAAATGTTTAAACCCACCACAAATAGAGCAGGAGAAAGATTGTGAGCAGCACAACTAAAATCTACATTGAAGACAATAGGACAGATTCTGAGCAAAATCAAATTGCGGTGCTAAAAGAACATTGGGTGATTCTTCAGAATTCAGGAGAAGAGGATAATTTAAGATAATAAAAGGTAAATAGATAAGGAAACAAATCTATTTTCTAATTTGAAAAGCAAGACGACAGTAAAACAAAATCATTAGCTTACCTATTGGATAAAAAAAGCATTTAGTGAAGTGCCCAGGGGAAAGAAACAGTTTCTCAATCCATGTTTAATTAAATTTCGTTTGGAGAGGTATTGAGCTCCACCGAGGACCAAAAGGAATGTCAAGTTCCAATGCTGGTTTGGGGTTTCTCAACCTTGGCAGTGTTGACAGCTGGTGCCTGATAATTTTTGTTTGGGGGCACGGGTGCGGGGGTGGGGGACTGCTGCCCTGCATGTTCTAAGATGTTTAGTAATATTCCCAGCCTCTATCCTTTAGATGCCAGTAGCACACTTTCCTCTCAACCACAGATGTCTTCAGATATTGCTAAATGTCCCTTGGGGTCAAATTCACCCTGGTTAAGAACCATTGCTTTAGGGTAGCACTGACGCATCACCTCTCCACTTTTGGCTTCAGTTACCAGCTCTGTAAGGCAAGACTTCTATACCAGAGCATCTCAAAGGGCTTTTGTTGAGTGGAACATGATGATCTACCCATTTCTGTGCTGGTTGCCATGCTCCTTCAACCAGCCGCTTCTGTGAGGATGCCCGCAGCCCCTCCCTGCCTCATAAGTCAGCGGTGGTATTGGGGTGGGGGGAGGGATCTGCCCTGGAGAGGCAGCCCTGGAGTTCTGAGAGTTTCTGCCCTGGCTCTCTTGGAGTGTTATCAGGCTAAATTCTATTTGGTAAATTCTCAAGTCTTGCTCTCAGCCTCCTCATGTCAAAGTGCAGGCCCAGCACCCTCTAAAGAATTCTAGCACATTCCTAGCAGAATTGCAATTTAACACAGAGCAAGCCTGGCATATTTTAAGTGTTGGATACTCAAGTGGTTTCCAGAGGCCCTGTCTCTAGTTCTTCTCTCTCTGCTCTGTGCCCACCCAGACCCACAGCCAGACAACCAAATGTCTTCTGACAGGCTCTAGGAACTGAACTCAGGTCTCCAGAGCTCACCATAGAGCTTTAGCGGTTTGGAAGGGACAGGAGAAAAAAGAGAGTAAGAGGACTTGCCAGAGAACCCCTTAGTTTAGAACCCCCATATCTAATTCTGAGTGACCTTCCTGTCCTTTGCCCCTGGCTGTTATCACCAAAACAATATTTATTCCACACATTCCAGGGCATCATGTTCAGACAAAATTTTCTCCCAAAGTCTGAAGACCAAAGGGAGTTTCCTACAGGCCAGAGCCTGAACATAGCCCCTCCTCCTTCATCCCCTGCGTTCTGTGATTCTGTGGTTCCCCTCCCCTATCTGTTCCAGCCATCCCCAGCCCTCCTGTCTCATTCTCTGAGACCCACACCCTCCTCCTATAAACAGGTCTACAGCTATAAACGGACTAGAGCCTGCAGGCTGAACTTTGGGACCTAGGGGGCTGAGGGCGCAGCATTGCTGGTAAAATTCAGCTCAAGGGACACATCTCTGTTTCCAGGACTGGAGAAATAGTTTGCAGATAAGTCTGTCTGGGGAAAAACTGGTAGGATCTGAGCCCTGTTAAGATTTTAGTCAGTGGAGCAATACTTGTGAGCTCAACAGTTGAGAGGGGGAGGAAAGCTGAGAGTTTAAGGGGATTTTCAAATATGTAAATAGATTTTTTTTTAATTTATCATGATTATGGTAAGACTTTTTCTAAGTATCTCTATTCTTTTGGAGAAAAAATTCAGGATTCCATTGGTGGCAGAATACATCTCCAACAGTTAAGGTGTGACTGAAGGATGTCCAATGAGGGTAGTGCTGGATCTGGCTTACTGGTCCCATCTCACCCCACCTGGCCTGGAAAACATTCTAGATTCTTTTATTCAAAGTGTGGTCCATGTGAAGCAAAACAGGCATCACCCAATATGCAGAATCAGGCCACATACCCAGCTTGGCAAATCAAGTCTGAATTTTAATGACATCCCCAGGTCAATGGTATGCACGTTGGAGTTGGAGAAGGCAGCAGTAGAGCCCCAAGCAACCCCCACCACCTCTGACCCCAAGCCCTGCCAGCCCAGCTGCTCCTGTCCCAGCAAGAGCACTCACCTGGCAGCTCTGAGCAGAAGCAGCAACGGGAGGAGGAGACCAAATCAGCCTCAGGCCTGAGCTCACAGGGTCCCAGCTCTACCCCAGGCCCTGCCTCCTGCCACCACCCACCTCTCCCCCTCCCCTTTCCATTCCTGGCAGCCTTAGTGAAGGGTAAAAGAATTGCAGCTGGAGGAGCAGGCAGCCCTGCTGTTAAAGAATGGGCTGTGGAGAATAACTCTCTGTTGTTAAGGATGAGGATATGTGTCCTAAGTGAACTGAAACAGGGATTTTCAGATTGTCAGAAAGTAAGCAATGACTTCAGCATGTTTCCAACATGAGGGCTTCCCAGCAACAACAGATAGAACTTCCTTAAGTTTATCTCAGAATGTCCTCTCCGGTTGGCTGGGAGAAATAGCACAGTCTTCTCCCCACAACACAGTGGGGCTCCTGCTCCTGTCCCCTCAGCAACTCCAGGAGCCCAACTCCTCTCCACCTGGCCCAATGAGAACTGTGACACTTGCCCCATCCCCATTCCTGCCCCCATTTATAGATCCAGGATCCCTCCGAAGAATGGTAAGGGGCAAGGCCGGGAGAACAGGTGGGTGGGTGGGTGGGAGAGTAATTCATAAGTGCAGAATGCAGGATCTGTTCACCCTGTTTCAGCTCCCAGAGCCAACATTGCACTCCTCAAGGTGGAGAGTTGGAGGGAACCTCTGTTCTAGATTCTGTCCCTGTGAATATTTGGGGCATCATTCCACTGTTTTCTAGCATTTAATATTGTCGTAAGTCTTAGTCCAGCTGGATAGTCTTCTTTCACCATTTAAGTGATTTGATCTTTTTGAGAGCTTGTCAAATGGGTTCTTTTTTCTTTTTAATTTTTGAAGCCTGTTCACTTCTCCAGGGGATTCTGTTAAGCGCAACAGAAAAAAATAACCTCACATTGGG